TTGATATGCAGACAGGCCTAAGTGGAGATAACCAGATCCAAGAACCAAGCTTAAGAATTTAGCAAAACATGACCTTAGGAATTTCTCACTACATAGCCTACTATCTCACTTTCTGAAATTTAAACCTGCACTAGTATGATATTCATGGTTCTACCAATTATCTTTTTAAAAACCAAACATGCAAATAATATGATACGTGGTTATGCCTGTCTCATGTTCATAAGTCTTCTAATGCCTAAAATCCAAGCTTGTGAACACAACCACCAAGTTCATTTTAAATGTAGTTACAGCTTGCTTTTCCCATTTTCTCATTGCTGGCCACATTAAACTACTTGCTGTTCCTTAAATCCTCAATGAATTTTTCATGTCTTTGTGTCTTTATTCAATCTGTGCTCTTTGTCTTGAATGTCCTTTCCCTCCCATCTCACTAAAATTCCCCCAAATTTCCTATTTATCCTTTAAGGTTCAGGTGCATATTCATGGTCATTGTTTTCCCTTGTTTAACTTTATAAGTAAATATCATGTCTTATTCAGCTCTGCTTCCCCCAAGTGCTTAGTATACTGTCTGGTACATATTTTTTAAATGGATAAATAAGTCAATGAATGAATGGAAAGATCAAAGCACTAGATTTGTGGCTGGTTGGAAGGATGGATGGATAAGAAGAATGAATGGATGCTGTGAAGAACCATGTCATATATGCTATTTCAGCATTGGAATCACTTTCTTTCATCCAGAACATGTGATCTAGAAGTAGCAATGATGAGCTTCTCTTGAGAATGCAGAATGACAAAACAGCTGGTATCAGGACACTCTTCCATACTGGAATCTGCACGGATGTTCACACCATTCATGATGAATCAGACCATGGTTAGAACCTCTCTGAGACATCCTCCCAAATAGAGAATTCATATAGGATGTTAAAACCTGCAGATGTGTTAAGTTTTTATGGTCAGATGCAGAGTTCAATTTCTTAGTAGGAAAGAGACTTCTCAAATAATTTTTGAAGGAAATGCTGCACACCTCAGAGTCTCACATGCACTGGGGCTCCATGTTCCTTCTCTTCTGCTGGGGTTTGTCTGCCACCTGAAATTCCTGAAAGGCCTACAACCTTCCATGGTCCAGGAGAAGAAGGAGTAAACAGGGTCTAATGTTATTTACTAAAAGTTGAGAACACATGAGTTTCAAAACATAATAAGAAATAGCATTTGGGCAGGAATAGGAGAAAAGTGGGAAGGAGGAAAGGGATCACTAGAGAACATGGCATGAAAGGCAAATCTTTCTCATTTTATGTTAGCAATTGGGAATATCCTTCAGAAATGCAAGGAAAAGTGAGAGATGGTTGTGCATTCATTCTAATTATGGGCTGTGAAAATGTCACAGCTAATTTACAAGAAGGATGGCCTCTATCTGGACAATTATATTTATAAGCATTTTCTTAAATGAACAACACGTAAGGGAGTTAAATTCTTGAGGCAATTAGCACTATGTAGTTTTCAAAAGTAACTAGAAATGGATAATATAAAAAGAAAGACCTGTCTTTGTTCTAGATGGACAGTTGAGAGCCTGTAGATGATCTTTAAGGGAAGCATCCTAAGAATCCAACTACCTAATGATCCTTTCAGAAACAATAACTGCTAAGCAGGGAAGCAAGGAACACAGGTAGATAGACCTAGAAGCAGAAAGAAATTGCTATATGTATTAAGCATCTCTTCAATAAGTAGCTCTGATCACCAGTGAATGGAAAATTGTAGAGAAAGCCAGATTATGAATCTTGATACCTTGAGACCAAGCAGCCATCAGCTACAGAGTGCCAGCTTTTCTAAGATACTGGGACATACCTTCTGCCATCTACTTCTCTGATAATCTATCAATTCAGCCTACTTTTAGACACATAATGTACTTTGTGTAAGTGTGAATGGAGGTAGTTAAAATTAATATGCCAATTAAAGCTCTCATGTCTTGAGTATCTACACTTCTTGGAAGAGGGAAAAGGCAATCTAAGAAAAACAGATGAACTTATAATCCTTTCTGTGTGGCTTTAGATATAAATTCAGAAATGTTAGGACCAGAAAGGTTCTTGGTGAAGTCCACTCTCCCAATTTATGATGGGAAAATGGAGGTTCAAAAGAGAGAAGGGACTTGCCTAAGGCCATATTCCTATAGTTGCCATTTGGGGACATATATAATTTTGATTTGACTGCTGAGAAGGAAATTAAATTATATGAATTCTTTTTTGAGGTGATCAAAATGTTTATGCTAAAGCCAAATCTTATGAAAATGGAAGTTTATTGCTAAAATATTCTCAAGAGCCACTGTATATTAATGCTTTCTTTCTTTTCTTCATTTTCTGGGTAAAGGTGTGGTACACACTGAATTTGAAATTAGCAATAAACTTGAGAGGGATCTGTGGCAAGAAAGCAGAGAATGTGGATATACTTTAGCAAAATACAGAAGCTTGATTTTCAAGCAATGGTATAAGTGGGTAAACACTGGGGTTTTCCTGACACAGTGCTTGAACATAACATGTACTTTTCTCATTATTAAAATCAGCTTCCAAACAGGTTCAAGGTGGTAATTTTCAATGTGAGTTGATTAAGAGTAATTTCTGGAGATCCTCTACCTGTGAGAACTGTTACATATTAGAGGGCATGCCAAGTTATTCAGGTTAAAAGACATTGCAAAGTGGTAAGAATAGCCTTCCCAGTTAAATTACTAGTGATCTCACTGTCATAACAACACCCCCACATGTGTCTAACACTTTGTCATTTACCAAATATGTTCACATTCATCATATCATCTGATCCTGACTAACTCTGTGAGGGTGCTATCTTCAAACTTCCGGCAAAGAAACTGAGGCTCAGAGAGTACACAGTAAATAATGGAGCTAGGATTTTTAACCTAGGTCTGTCTGATTCCAAAGGCAAGGCCATTTACACCACATCAAGAATTCTTGCATCTTGTGAGCATTTCTTAAAGTTTGCCAGCCTGAGCTCTAATGCCTAGCACGGTGTCTTGTACACAGCAGACATTCAATAAATACCGTAGGAATGGAACTGAAATGAAAGCCAGCCACAGCATTTATAGCTTGTCTTCATTGTGGTACTCAAGCCCACTCATATCTGAGCACTCTACACAGTAAACCAATTTGAAAACTTACTATACCATTTTTCCCAATAAATTAATTTACAACCTTAAGTCTAAATGCTAGATAGTGTAATGACATCATCTGTTTTACAGGAGCCTGTCCTTTTCAAATGGAGTTCACTGTAATCTTATCACGAGACCGGTTTATAATAAAAGATACTGAAATAAAATTCAGAATCAAATGTTATGAGGACTTTTATTGCCATTAAATTTTACCTACATCAAAATAGGCTCACCATTCCTACCAGAGATGGCAAGCCAAGGACTTCTCTACCTGGGAGCCCTCATCTCTTACACATAATTCACAGAAAGCTAATACTTAGAAGTTGAGTGTGATAGAAGCCTTGCCTTGGACTTGGAACATTCATATGGAGAAAACTTCCTGGTTTTGATGCCTTTGTCACTTTTCCTGACGTTCCTTCTGTGCTCCTCACTTTAGACCGGTGTGTCCCTGCCCCCCACTGCAGTCCAAAATTGTAGAATTTCTCTTAAGTATATTAAGCCAGCAAAAACAGGATTGATTTTTTTTTCAAATATTTGAGTCTCATTTGAGGTAGCTGCCTGAAAAGCTACTCACAGGGGATCTTTATGGGATGATTTTGAGTATTAAGACATATTTTAAAGTGTTTCTGTTGATTTCAATTCAAGCCTGGGTCAATTTGTTTGAGGTACATTTATCTGTTTATGTAATACTACTGATCTATGAGGGGATGATATATACTTATCTGCATGGAGATATTCATATGGCCTTACTCCAGAGTCATAAAACAAGTTGCTGTCTACAAATGTCCATATAAGCAGGCAAGGTATTGGCACCTTACAGAAAGCCAGAGATGGACAATTGCTCAAAATTAGTCTTAAGAGGAGAGGAAAGAAGGCTGGATTCCATGTACTTGGATTTTCTAAGCTGATAATGAATAATCAGGTATAAGGATATAGTTTCAGGCATGCAAATAGGCTTGTCTTTCTTTGAGTTCCATTTCTAAATCAAAGTAGACTAATGAGCTTGCTTTTCTGATGAAAAAATAATCTTTTTGGAAGCAGCAGGCAGCAGGAAGGACCCTGGTATTGGGCAGATATAAACATGAAGGGATGAGGAATTTGGAAGGGGGAAATATAAATGTACATCAACTGGTGTCAAACAACTCTGGAATGTGACAATGCTCATGGTAACCACAGGCTTAGGGGAAGATAGCCTTATGATAGAGGGTCACCCTTGAAAGAGATGTATCGAGCTACTGCACTACTGAAAAAAATGATTTTGGAAATGATCACTAGATTTGTAAAAAAAAGGAAATGATTAAAAGGCCTGCTCATCCCTGGGATATGTGTGATAGGAAATTGGCTCTGTTTGGCAGCCTAGTCACATGCTTCAAACAGAGGCAGCTTCATGTTCCAGATGCCTGGCTCTACAATATAGGTAGCAGTTTGCTGAGGGATATTCCTAGGTGTTCAGAACCAGCCTGTGCCTGGGTCATCCTGCACCTGTGACTGTTCCAGATTCCTTATTTCCCGTATCCTGGCTACCATCAAACAGCATCAGGCCAGTACAATTGTGATCCTGGGGAACCCTGCCCAGTATAATCCAGCCGCAATCACCCTCTGTTGGTTCCTGATACCTACTTCACACCTCCTACTCCTATATTGAACCCCAGGGTCATGGGTGGCATGTTTAAGGATAAAGGGACCAGCTGGGTGATGGCTACATTGGATATGAAAGATTCAGCCTGCACTTAGATCATGGCTGGTCCCCTTGGAAGTATCAAAGAAGAAAATCTGGCTTAAAGAGATAACTTAAGAATAGAGGGAGTAGGCAGGAGAAGGACAAGGAGAAAGAGAAAGAAATGTATCATACCTCCCAGAGTCATCCCTGCTTCGTAGCATTTCCGGAGACGACAAGATGGACAATTTTTCCTTCGGAATTTATCAATGGTGCAATCATTTCTACTGGCACACAAGTACTTCTGTTTTCCTGGGAAAATAAATACAAGAGTAGACAATGAAACATATCGAGTGTTTCTAGGCAAAAAAGGCATGATGATATATACTACCATATGAGAGAAGTAGACAGATAATGGTCCCAGACAATTTGATCACACGGATTTTAAAGCAAGATGGTTTAATTCAGTGCTATACTGTTTGGTTTTTGCAGGTTGTTTTTCAAGGTTAAACAATTCGGGTCCTGCTGATAACACCATTATTAGGACTACTCACTAGTTTTTAAAACAAGATGCTATATCTTTACTAAAAGCCAGGAATGCCCATGAGAAAATAATCAGTTGTGGAAATTGATTCTCTTTTAGCATGGCACAGCAGAGACTTGGGCTCAGCTAATGTACCCTCCTACTGACACCTGCAATCAGCCATGGAATCATACTTGAATTAATAAGATATATCTTTTCCAGAACACCAGTGTCTTAGTTACTTTTCTTGTTGTTGAGATAAAATACCCAACACCCAAAGTTAAGGGAAGAAAGGTTTATTTGGCTCATAGTTTGTAGAAGTTTTAGTCCATAGTTGGCTGGCTCCAAGGCAGGGCGGCAGGACAAAGGGGCATCACAGGGAGAAACAGTTCATGGCAAAGCAGATCAGACAGATGGGAAGTAGCAAGCAAGCGACAAGCAATAATAGCAGCTTCTTTCTGCCTCATTTGTATTCTATCTAGGCTACCCGGCTTAGGGTGGGTGCCAAACCAGTCAGTGGACTAATTTAGTAATCATATGCCCTTAATCACAGCATCACACACTTTAGATCCACTCACTCTGAAAAAGCCCCACCTATCGCTTCATGAGGCTTTGGGGGGACATCTAGACACAAGCCATAACAATCAGTACAGGTAAAATGTTCATAAGAGAGAATTCCATGGGATTCTTAACTGTTTTTAAATTGCTAATGATCATACTCTCAAATCTGCATGTTATAAAAATCAAACAGAGGTAGGATCGGGGATTTAGCTCAGCAGTGCCATGCCTGCCTCACAAGCAAAAGGTCCTTAGTTTGATCCCCGGTACAAAAAAAAAAAAAATCAAACAGAGCTAAAGCCCATTTTGTATGGTCAACCATGGCAAACAAAAGAACAAAAGAAGTCCTTTGAAGCTAGCATAGTAACAAAGATCACTATTCTACACACTTGAAGTCACCACAGATACACAGAGGAACAAATATGCAAACTCATGAAAATGGACATAAAGTATTGAAATCCACCCAGCTACAATAAGCTTGCAGAGCCAGTACAAAATCTGAAAATTACCTTCAGGAAAGACATGGTGTAGGTGGTTATAGTCTGAAGACAAAGCATTCTTTCTAAGTGAGTCAAGGATCTTTGTTCTTTGTCTGTAAAGTATATGGCCTGTGAGTACCTTCTGTATGTTCAGTTGACAGAAAAGTGAAAAGGATCTGGTCCTGCTCCAAGGTGGTTTTAGAAGCATCCTATGCTGTACAGCAGATTACTGAATGATTAACTCAGAAAAAACAAACTGTTATCCCAATCCCTGTCATCTCATAATACAACCATTAAACTTTGCTCTTTGGCACTGCTGACTTTCAACAGCAAAAATTCCTCAACAACCTGTAATCAAGGTCTCACAAAACTTTATTTTGAAATGACTGATGAAGTATACAATTCCTTTCTCATATTGAAGCAGATAAGACCACATCCTAGTGCAAACAGACCACTTATTTAAATGCTTTAAAACTGTCTTATTACAATAACTACAAACCCTTGACTATTGTGACTGGTCACATAATGGCTGGCATGAAGTACTCTATAGGTCAGCTGGTTCTGAAATTCTTGTCTCCCTGATGGTATTATGCATCTTTTTTCATGATTTTATTATTTCATCATAAACCTTAAGTATGATTCAAAGCTCCACCAGAAACTAATGCCGTGAGACCCCCTTAAGATTTTTCTCTATTTCTGTTGTCATGTGTCATAGTCAAGTGTTCCCATGCAGTAGAAGTTAAAGTCTGATTGAACTTTTTTCAGTTTATTCATTCTAAAAAATACCACTTGGAGTAGAAGTAAGATAGGCAATTACCAATTATTAGTTAAATTATCCATTATGGAAGTAAAGAAAGGGTTGAGTTATCATCTTCATTGTTAACCACAAAGAAGAATGAAGAATGTAGAATTTCTCATGCTTTATAGAGTGAGTATTAATGCAGGATCGATGTGAAAAAAATTTTTTTTAAACTTTACTGAAGTATTTAGGAGAAGACTTGAATTAAATAGTAAGGTGAACCATGTTCCTGGATGAGAAGATGCAATAGTGCAAGGATTTCAGTTCTCCTCACATGACACCTATACATTTAAAACAACATAAACAAAATCTTGACAAAATAATCCCAAAGTTCATCTAGAGGAATAAAATGTATGATACTACCAAGATATTTGTGGAAAAGAAGGGCAATAAAACTTTCCCTACCAGGAATTTAAAGTATTATTAAGCTGTAACAACTGTATTGGTTTTATAGTGACTCCAGTATAGGTCAACTGGTGGAAGAAACCAGGAAAGGCCCAAACAGACACAGTATCTCCAACACATCATCCCAATTCAGTGAAGGAAAGATGAATTATTCACTAAGTGGTGTCAGAACCACTGGTTAAACATTTGGTAATCAGTAGTTAAATTATTAGTTAAAAATCTAAATTGCAGATGGATTATGTCAACAAAAGAGGAAATCATGGAGGTGCTGTTAGAAAACATAAAATAAAATAAGTTTTGAAGGTAGATAAAGAGTTTTTAAGGCATGACAATGAAGAAGACATAAATCAACATTTTGACAGATTTCCCTAGAAAATAATTTAAATTTATTATGTTAAATAAAATTTAGAGACAAGCTACAAGCAGAGAAGAATTATTAGCATCAAGAATTTAAAACCAATGGTCAATATTCTTGATATATGAAGATATTCAGTCTGACAGAATAATGGACAACAGACATGAGCAGGCAATTAAAGAAGAAATAGAAATGACAAACATGAAAATTGTTCAATTCCCCTGGAAGTGATACAAATACAAATTAAATGTTGTTTTTATTTATAAATCTGGTAAAGATGAAATGCCAAATGTTGGCGGAGAGGTATTGCTGGTGGGAGTATAAATTTTTAAGAGAGTAATTTTGCTATATATTTCAAGAGAATTAAAAATATGTATAACTTTTTACTGGAAATTCCACTTGTAGGAATGTTTTATAAGAAAATAATATGATAAACTAAAAAACGTAGCTCACTGCAGAATTATTTAAATATGGAAAATTGGAGGTCTTTAAATATTGAACATTAGGAGAATGATTAAATAAATTATTCTATATTCAGGTGAGGGAATACTGTAGATATTGATGATGAACTCGATGTCTTTTTTTGTAATTTAGAAATATGTTTATGATATACTTATTTATTAAAACAAAAGCTGAGTTACCAAACAGTATATTTGGTTGGATCCCATTTTAACATATAAGGCCTTATAACTCATCTAGCCAAGTTTTTAAAACATTTAATTGAGAAGAAATAATTGTACATATTTATGAGGCATGAATGTGATGTTTTGATATATTGTAGAAATATTAAATCAAACCAATTAACATATCAATCACTTTACTCAATTATTCTTGTGGTGAGAATATTCAAAATCTACTTTTAGCAATTTGAAATATACAATACATTATTATTAACTTTGGTTACCATGTTGTGCAATAGATCATTAAAGCTTATTACTCCTAACTAGAAAAAGCATATCACCCCTTGCCCCACCAACTGTCCCCTAGTGCCTGGTAACTACCACTTATTCTCTGCTTCTATAAATTATATTATAATATAATTATTATAATAATTATTATAATTATTACTATATATTATATAATATAATTATATTATAATAACCTTCAGCATTATTTGCAACAGCTATGATATGGAAAGTGCCTAAGTGTTCATCATTGGATAAATGGAATATTATACAGCCTTCCAAAAGAGGTTTTATTATTTGAGACATCATGAAAGACCATTATGCTAAGTAAAATAGGCCAGACATACAATGACAAAGACTACATGATCTCACTTATATATCAAATCTAAAAAAAAAACTAATCAAGTTTTTTCTTTTTCAGTAAACTCTTTTTCCAAACAGAACATTACATAGAAGCCTGATAAACAGAACAGTTAAAACTAAACTTGATTTGCTGAAGCAGGCACAAGAAACTTAAAATGCCCCTCCAAAAGCCACACTTTTTCTCCCCTTTTCTGTGGGCACAGCATTTTGGTATGCTTTACAGAAACTCTGTAGGAGCTTCTTCATGGGACAGGTTAAAGACTTACTGATTTAGTCCTACTTTCATACCATCTGTTTTACAAATTGAGAAACTAAGATTTATAGAATATAGAGACTTGCTTAAGGTCATACCATGTGTGCATGTCAACACAGGGACAAGATCAGCAGTGTCCTCATTTCTAGTCCAGAAGGACAGTGCTATTCTCATATAAGATAATGGATGGGAGAATATCATAAAAAGCATAAAGCATTATACAGATTTTAGTTATCATTATTATTATTTAAACTCTTGCACATCAGAACAGGCAAGAACTTCTATAGAGATGATGCACTCCAAACTTCTCATTTTACAGATAGGGACAATGAGATCCAGAGAGCAGACTAGATGTAAGATTGTACAAAGCCTATAACCCAGTTTCAATGCATGCTGCCATATGCTTTCTACTTAACCATGGTAATACTGTAAATGTTTTATTTGCCTCCCTCCCCTGCATATCCTAAATCTATCCGCTGCCTATTCCAAGTGACAACGAGGAGTAATACTTGCTTGAGAAGAAAAATGGAGAGAGAGAAACTTGCTGTGTTTTTATTGGTACTCTTCAAGGTAACTACAAAAATGTTACCGTTTTTAATTTTGCCAAAACAGTTTTAGATAGCTACTAACTCTATTTTAGAGGTGAGAGGATTAAGACTCAGACATATTGAG